TTGTCCTGGGAATGCAGCAGAAGCTGCCCTGCTGGATCAGGCAGAGGGTCAGCCTGGTCTTCTCCCCCCACCACTGTCTGAAAGAAAATGTCTGGGGAAGAGTGTAGGAACTTCCCTCAGGTTCCCTCCTGCTCTCAATCTGTTCCAACCTCCATGAGTATTCTGAGCCAGATGTGGCTTCCACAAATTTAATCTAATCTTCAGCAGATTTATTGTCTCCTAAGAACCTGTCCAGTCTCCCCTTCAACTAACTGGATTTTTTTCATCCATGCTATCAGAAGTGGCAGATTTTGAAGTGATGTTGTGATTATGTGTGCAGATCCATCTTTCCAGTCTCCTGGACCAGTCTGAAATGCATTTTGGAATCATGAGGATCTCTCCCCTTCCCAGTGGTAGTGGTGTCAGACTGGGACACCCAAGCTGGCACTCAGGGCAATGCTGTGGAATGAAGCTGGAATAATCTACCCTTGCAGAAGTGTGGAACTGTGCCTGTCTGTAGTAAATCACCACACTGCCAGGGTCTTTCAGCTCCTGTAAACCAATTATCTGAATGCTTTAGCTCTTGCTTCCTTTTATAATGTTGGTGCTAAGGGCAATTTTCGTCCTGTCCAGACCACAGAAACCATTTCACCACTGAAACAGGAACAACTTCAGCCTTTTGGTCTTTACTGTGAGAAGACAGCTTTGCTAAACTCTATTTTTCAGCAGACAATCAGTCCAAAGTCCCACAGTGAGAGAGCAGCTCTCTTGCAGCCCCTTGCTCTGGCAGACCTGACCCAGGGGATTGGTGTGATAATGATGTGCTGACAGGCTGGGCAGTGAGGGCACTGACTGCCTCTGGTACCCTGGGTGCTGGGGGAAGGCTGCAGAGGCTGAATTACCCCTCTTGTTTTTCAATCCTTTGGGGAAAATGGAAGCTTTGACACAGAAGTCTTCTCAGGTGAGCCTACACAGTCCTGTTTCCAAACCCCTCCACGCAGCAGGCAAGCTGAAAAGCAGGACAGTGCTGTTCTCAGTGGATAGTGTCAGATTCTGCTTGTGGAAATGCTTTCTCCAGCTCGTGGCCACGTTCAGATTTCTGCCCCAGAATTTCTGGACTGTTTTCCTTCCTTTTTAACTGTGAGATGGATACACAGGAGAGGGGAGGGATTCAAGTGCAACACCTGCCTGTTTCTTGTTGGATGTCTTGTTCTCATTGAGTTCCTGTGGCTGTCACCTGCCTAATTTTAAAAACCACATGGTAAATTACTAGCCTATTTTCCCCTTCCCTCTGGTTCCTAAATGAAGTTACATCTCTGAGTCCAACCAAGAGATGGATGCAAGTGCATTTTTCTTTACAAATACAAGATGGTAACGAATTTGCAGGTTTTCTCAAAATGTTGCACTTTTCTCTGTTGTGAAAATGAGTCTTTATTAAAAAAAAAGAAAATCTGAAGCCCACTGCAGCTGTGTGGGCATCACTGATGCTGTGTGATCCCATCCCTATCTCTCAGACTCATCCCCAGGGACAGCTGCCTCTTACCAGCGCACAGCTCAGTGCAGGATGTCATCTCCCTTCCCAAGTCATTCCCCCCAACAGTCTGTTCAGACCCTTCAGAAACAGCTCTCAGGTTCTGCCCACTGTGCCTGGAGCTTGTGTTTTTGGAAAAGAGCAGCAGAAAATGTCTTGTTCAGAGTCGTGCCACGCTCAAGTGCCCCCAGGGAGGATTTGCTGAGGGTCCTGCACGTGTAAAACTTCTGCCACAGACTCAAGTGTCCTCCTGGTGTCCCAGCAGTGCCAGCATGGCAAGGCCTGAGGCTCAAAAACATCAGGAATCTGCAGTGGGGCTTCCAGGTCCTTTTTCAGAGGCTAAATTAGATTTGACCAAATTAGATTTGGATATCCTCACAGCGTGGCATCAGGTGGGCAGAGGTGAGTCAGGAACAGCAGCTGTGACACAGGCTCTGCTGGGCACTGAATTTTTACCTTTCCAGTCCATCAGGGATTTGGGAATGTTGTTTGTAACCCCCAGAGCTTCTCTGAAAATCCCTGTCTGATTTCTTGGCAATTATCAAAAAGTACAGAGCAACAAAAGCATCTCCTCTGCCCTGGCCAGCTGCTCTCTTCCTAATGGCTCCTGAGGAACCCTGGGGTTTGCAGGCATCTCCTGGCACGTGTTTGCCATAATCCAAAGCCTGTGGAAGTGAGATGAAAGGGTCTGGGTTTCCCACATTCCGTGGTGGTGGCAGAGGGAGGAGGATGAGGCCCAGGGAATGGGTCTGGCTGTGCATTAGCAGGGTTGAGGTTCTCCAGCTGTTTGAAGGTAATATATGAAATCAAGGGGAAAAACCTGCTCAGAACACCTCAGAGGACTCCACCAAACTGATACTGCTTTTAGAGCTTAAAAATAAATTCCTTCCTTGTGAACATCCTCAGGGGCAGTTTTCCTCTGACTGGGTCTGCATCCTCTCGAGGGGCAGTGGAGGGACAGCTCTGGGCTGTGAGCAGGGACAGCCCCCAGGGAATGGCTGGAGCTGTGTCAGGGCAGGCTCAGGGTGGATCTCAGGGAAAGGTTCTTCCCCCAGAGGGTGGTTGGCACTGAACAGGCTCCCCAGGGCAGTGGGCACAGCCCCAAGGCTGCCAGAGCTCCAGGAGGGTTTGGACAATGCTCTGAGGGACAGGGTGGGATTGTTGGGGTGTCTATGCAGGGCCAGGAGTTGGACTCAGTGGTCTTTGTGGGTCCCTTTGAGCTCAGGGGCATTCATTCCATGATTCTGTGATTGAGAACACAGTGCCCAAAGCACACACAGATCAGAAACTTCAGGCAGGAGGTTCATCCCAGTTTTCTCTGTGTGGAAGGGGATGTGTTGGGGAGGGAAGGGAGGAGTCTTCTCTGAGCTCCTGCTGTGAATTTGCATTAAGCTCTGGAGATTGCAGATCTCCAGACTGAGAGCAAAATGTTTCAGCTGCAAATCCACCCTCCCTTCCCCTCCCCATGGGCTGTGTGGACCTCACAGGCTGTGCTTCTCTTCTGGCTGTCAGACACAGGGTTAATGTGTACCCGCTGCTCAGGGAGAAGCTGGAAATCATTCCAGTCCTGTGGCTCCATCCTACGAAGCTGCACGGGCTGGTACAATGGCACACATCACACAGAGGGGAAATGGCAAATGCTCCCAGGCTTCAAATCACGGGTGCACATTCTGCTCTCTGGTGTTTGGTGGCTCTAAAAGGCTGGTGATGCTTGGAGATTGGATTTGACTCCAGAGCTGCAGTGAATTACAGCCTGGTCATTACGAGCGTTTTTTCCTAATTACCACTTTGTACAGCCTGTCCCAGCTGGGTTCCCGTTATCTGTAAGCAATCACAACCCGCTTGGAAGCTGTGACAGCCTCAGCGGCCACAGCGAGGCGGCCCTGAGGGCTCAGTGAGCCCAGCCCAGTGAGCTGAGCCCAGGAAATCAAGTGACAACTTCCCCTGCTCTCCCTGCCCCACGCACGTGACTCCTCTGTTTCCTGCCTCTCCTCCATCCCCACGGAAACACGCTGTGGCCATCTACCTGTCCGTGCTCCCACACGCAGGGACTTGGGGCTTTATGATGGGAAAAGTTAAAATAACGTGGGAAATCTGCTCTCTGTCCTCTTTGCAGCTCAGAAGCCCCAGCCCCTCTAGATCCTGCAGTCTCTCCTAGGAGTGTCCCAGGGTCTAATCCTGCTGATCCCACAGTCCCTAGTTCAGGGATTCTGAACTGATTCTCCTGTTCTTCCAGGTGTGAGTAGTGAGGTGCTCATGGGATGTCCTGGAAGAGCAGCATCCTGCAGGCATTCTGTGAGAAATCCCTGAGCTCTTCCCGTGGCATTTTGAACTGCCCACTTCCATCAACTCTCCTTATGTGATACCTTGATTTTCTTTTCTCTTCAGGATCTCTCTCAGCTTTGTCTTATTTTAGGAGCTCCCTGCAGCTTTCTCCTTTTGGGGTAATATTCTCAATTTTACACTTCATGCTGAGCCTTCTACAGAGCAAAATTGTAGTTTTGGGACTCGTGGAGCCGTCTGTAGGCTGGGCAGAAATAGGGCTCTGTTGTTGTCTAATGATGTCAGTTGTAATCAGCTTCAAATTTATATTATTTAATCTTGCATAAATTAGAGAAAAATCTCCAAGGTTGAAGACAGATCTTTTGTCTTAAGCTATAAGGTGGAATCTTACCATTCCATCTCCACTGCCCAACTGACAGAAGACACTGCTTTTTATCTAAAGACATAAAATCCTTTAAATTGTTTGCCTTGATGCAACAAAGGGTTTTGGTGAGTTGTGGATGAGTTAGGCAGCTTTTTCCTACCACTAACTCAGATCAATCTGCGTGGCACAGAAGGGACCTGCCATCATCTGTGCTTTGGGAGGTATAAAAGAGGTTTGCCAGGATATATTTTAAAGCTGCTTTGTTTTCATGCTAAAAACAGTAAAGATTGTCTAGATTGGAACAATCCCTGCGTGGCATAGAGGGAGGTGGGGATGGCAGGGGATAAACAGATGGTGAAATGGGATGGTCACAGCACGGCTGTCAATGGGGTTGGAGGGGACCTTGCTCCAAAGCTCGTGGAGTCCAACCCCTCTGCTCAAAAGGGAGGTTTGAGCTGATTTTCCAGGACCACATCCAGTTGGGTTCTGAATATCTCCATGAATAACTCCACAGCTTCTCTAGGCAACTTTGTTCCAGTGTTTGACCACCCTCATAATAAAAAAAAAAAAGTGATTTCTTTTGTTCAGAGAGAATTTCTTGTTTCTTAATGTGTCTCTTGCCTCTTGTCCTGTCAGAACTGTTCTAAGGTAGCTCTGCAAATATTATCCTGACTGAAATCCAGACACATCCTCTTCTGCCATCTCCTGAGCTCTGAAGGCTTAACAAGGGGGGGACTTTATTTGCACTGGGATCTCATCCTCTCACTGCCATTTGACTTGTCCTTAAAATGTAAACTCTGAGCTTTATCCTTCCTTCTGCCCCACTGTAACCACGAGCCAGGTTTGATGGTGATTGTCTTTGCTCCTGCAGGAAGGGCCGGCACACGGGTGGTGGGAACAATGCAAGGTGAAGACACGGAGGAAGATGTGAGTAACCATCCCACGTGTCTGTAGAGCTCCTCTGACAGTGCTTTACAATGCCAGCCCTCTCCTCAGCCAAAGAAACACCTTTTATTTACTGAATTGTCATGCCCCAGGCCTGCTTTGCCCCTCCTTTCCTGTAACTGCGCTCTCTCATCGGCACAGACACAGATTTCCCTCTTTTTCCTTTGCCCTTGGAGCCTGTGCATTCCCCTTGTCCTGCAGTGCACAGCTAGTGGCACACAGGCTGCAGGAATGCTGTTTGGTGAGCTGTGGGGGCAGATTGCTGGGAAGAGGGATCAGTTAGGTAGGTGGACATAAATCCCCTTTTGTTGCTCTAAAAACACA